CTAGCAATTGATAAGATCAACTAAAGAATGGATTTCTAGGTGCTAAGGAGAACAATGCAACATTTAAAACCATAGCAAAAGATATTCAAACTAAAGAGGTAAAGATATTCAAATTGAAAAGGTAAGTAACTGGTAAATGACAGCTCCATTCATCCAGTCTTGAATGAAAGATAACTCGCCTAAATTGTAACTCATTCATTTATTTACAATATAGTCATATTTGATCTCAAACTGGTAGTTGATAACCACATAGAGGATTAAAGTTGCACTTGCACCATATAAAAAAAGAGTACTCATCATCAAAACAGATGACTGAGAAATTTCGCACCCCTTACTCCATTCATACTTACTGACAGCTAATTAACATAGCAGATTGTAAAATTTCCTTAATTGTCACATATCTTGTGGCCACAGATCCTCACCACCACACACACCGACAGACCCCATCCTCCTCTCCTCTCATCTTGACCCTTGACCAAACTCTCTCCAGGTTGTCACTTACTCTATCTGCTCCATTATTGCAAAAGAATGTTACCTCATGGAAAGCCAGTAGATTGTGAGATGTCAATCAATGGCTCAAAGCTTTAAACAACCCTCTTTCCATCACAAGCAGCAGCAATAGTGATATACAACAAAGGTTATCAAAAGTATGCACTTATTAATATAGAATATTCTATTGTTTTATATCAGATAAAATGAGAAGCAATCTGGTTTAATTTAAGTATTGTTCTATATAGAAAAAGAAGAGAGGAAATTCTTAATAAAAGTGGCAAATGAAAACTAGGTTTCGTTAAGGACAAATTTGTGAATGTGAATCCTGCTACCAGTCATAGATTCAAATTTAAAATAAAGGGGTTATGAATCACCAAATACAATTTTAAAATCTTCTCACCTCAAAGGAAAAGGAATCCTATTCTATGTTAGTAAGATAATGTATGATATCCCATACTCCTAAAAATGAAGATAATGGAAGGTATATGATAGACTATAACTCTACCTGATTCCTTCCCCTTTCCGTTTCTGAGAAATCTGCAAACCAAATAGGTTCTTAATTCCTAGAATCATGTTACATTTACCATTATTTTAACTTATGTTGCAAGGTTGAAAGAGGGGTATGGAATAATTGGTCAAATTATATATAAAAAAAAAAAAACTTTAATTATGATTTAAACTCTTATTTCTCTTTTTTTATCTTCTCTTTATGAAGGTTTTAATTAATTGTCACATATCTCTAGCTAATTAACATAGCAGATTGTAAACCTATCAATATGCAAGCCAATCTAGCAATGTTATTTTATAGCTAATCAACTGTACGGTAGCTCCAATCCAGAAAAACAAAAACCAGAACTGATAATAGAGAAATATAATTTATATGTTTATAGAACCTTCAACGTGATTAATAAATTGAAAGCTTCAACATACCATTTCATGTACTGCTTGTGCCAGAGAAACCAACTGAATAATAAGACAAGATCAAAGAATTAGATTCTATAAATTAGAAAATATAAAATATAAAAAGACAATTATATTAAAAAATACAACCTGAACTTAAAAGGAAAGCCAACCAATCATATTTCTTGTCATCAGGAAGTGATTTTAGCAAATAAAATTGCTCAGGATCACCATTTAATAACAATTGGACTGCCTTGAATATTTCTTGTTGAGAAAGACCCAAAACTGTTGATACCACTTCATATATCTCTTGACCACTTGGTTTCTTTTTCAAGTTCATGTACTCCTTGAGTGATGAAGCAATGTCACCAACAATAGCAACCAATGGATCTTTCCTCCGTTTCTTTTGATGGGACTCTATCGTAGATGATGTGGAAGGCTGTGTTGGTGGGGCAGCAGGTGGTATTGGGTACTCTACATCATTTTCATCCTCTCCCACCATTGCTTCATCAGCATCTTCAAATGTTTCAGCACCTTCACCGGTTGCTCTATCTGTCCCACACAACATAACAATATCATCCCACCTTTCTATAGGTCTATTTGCATATACATTTGCCTTTCCATTCTCCCGAACATAATCTTTCCATGCTGACATATTAT